GTACTCAACTGGCAGATAAAACAACGTCGTCAGCTTGACATCAAAGTTAGAGCCAGTGCTCCTCCATATTAAAGCTGGGGTCTGACTCGGGTATCTCCCAGGTGTATTTCTGGCATATTCTACTGAGAGGAGGCTCCAGGGTGGATCCAGGGCATGCTGGTTAGATTACATCTCTTGCCTGGTTTGGGAACACCTTGTCCTCCACCTAGAATAGCTGGAGATAAATAGCTGAGGTAGCTGTGGGTGTGTCTGCATGGACCTGGATATGCAGCCGAAGATGAAAATGTCGATTTAATATCAATAAGTAGAAAAATGCTGAATATTGGCCCCAATAATTGGCCTAACAGTACCACTAGCTTTATCTGATTTAGATATCCATTTACTTCCAGGGTTTTATAATGCAGCACAAATAAAAAGCACACTAATGGAATAAAGTTCACCGATGTTCTTGGAGCTGGTCTGTAATTGGACCTGTCGGATAAATAAAGCAGCGATACCTCAGCATCTCTGAAACTGAATTACCGCCTCTGTGCAGCGACTTTAATGTGATCTTTGATTATCCCAAACAAAGCGGGCAGGTTTTACTTTGTGTGGATATTTTGTTCCTCAGCCAAGAAGGAGGAAAAAGGTTGCTAAGAAACATCATCCGGTGTTTCTGCGACGCTACTTTCAGGTTCAGCATTGACATTTGTCTAAAAATGATATTTCCTACTGTTGTGTTCACACCAACAGTGATAATATCTTTATGAACGCACGCGTGCATGTGTAGGCAGCGAGCACTCTGCTTGTTATCAGAAGCTTTGCGGTTTCCTACTGTTGTCTGCATTAGGATGTCATATTTAAGTAGACGTGATGAATGTTGGTGTTTATGAGGGAGCACGCCTCTGCCACATGCTTTATGACAAATATAATTGAGCGACGAGGCTGCGCAGTTTATTTAAAATCAAAATTTAAAGAAAAGGATGACTTTGTGCTCTTGTTTCGTCGTTTACTTTTGGATTTCCTTTACAGCTGTATGGTTTTGCTTAGCCCCGCCCCCCTCCCATCAGCTACGGTGGGTTTATTTCAGCTCAAGACAACATGACAGGAAGAGAGAACGATATGTGTTTAGTGTAAGCAGCTAATGTGGCCAACAATAACATCTGTTGGCTTCTCTTCTACTTTCTGTGGTCACATGAATGACATTTTAATGCAACCAGATTCACAATAAAGCCATTCTCACTTTGTGTGTTTCTTATCCAACAACAGTGCTTAGCATGAAATAATGGCAGTCACCTCCTGTCAACACTAGAATGACTATTTGGATAAAAAGTTTGAAGTCACATGAGGCTAAAGTTTCCTGTTCTTTAAGCAGTGTTTATGAATACTTCTCCAGGCTTCTTAAAGGACATCCAAAGCTTTTTTTTTTTTTTTTTTTGGATGCTGGCTTTTGTTCTGTTCTCTGTCAAAATGATCCCACACAGTGCTTTAATATTGTTGAGGTCCAGGCTCTGGGAAGGCCAATCCATGACTATTCCACTTTGCAATTTTATCCAGGTATACTCCATTGACAGTGTGTTTGGGATCATTGTGATGTTTAAAAATGTAGCTGTGACCAATCGCAAGCGTTCCTGATGGTATTGCTTAGAGTCTGCATCGTGTTTTATAGATAGCTGTAAACCGGGGGTGGCCAACTCCAGGCCTCAAGGGTCGGTGTCCTGCAGGTTTTAGATGTGTCCTCGAAATAAATGCAAAAGAACCAAGTTTTGTGTAAATACTGTGGTGTTATTCTGGCTTTTGGAATATAATTTAGAAAACGAATTGTTCAACAGTTATGGCTGAAGCATGACAAAGGAAATTTTAATAGGTGCAATTTCCTGTTTTTTAAAGCTCCTCACTGTGTGATGAGGTGTCAGTGTGTGAAATTGGAGGTAGTGGTAACGCACACATCAGTCACACTCCTGGCCCAAATACTCTCCGACTGCCTGTTTGGTCTAGACAAAAACAAGAGTGCACATCCTCTGCAGATAGCCATTTTAAAAATGTGAGAGAAGAAGCTAAAGCTTTAAAGTGGTTGTTTGCACTGGTTAATCTTTAACTGGCCAATAAAAATCCACCACACACAGCTTACAGGATGCAGTTCCTTGTTTGCTCAGGCTGACTGTTTCGATCTGTTTGCTTTTCTTCTTGGTTGGCTCATGTCCACTGAAGGGTTTCGTTTGTAACACTTCCTCCTGCTGCGCTTTCTTCACGCACAGCCTGCTTTTGCTGATTCTTGTTTTCTCTCAGGAGTGTATGCAAATGTGTTGAGTTTTAGTTAAACATTAATTTTTTCTTGTTTCCAGTAAACAGACTACTTTCCTCCCCTCCCCTGTTGTCTATATTTTAAGCTAAATAACTGAGAAGGTGTCAGAAATGGCCATGTCCCCCCCTCCGGATTCTCCTTTTCTCTCACATGATGTCATTTTTCTCCTATCTTTTCCTCTCACCCGTTTCCAATTATAGCTCAGCCTCACACCAGCTTCCCCAAGACAAAGGAGGAGAGCTGATTAAGTTTAATTTAGCTGCAGCTGTTAAATGGGAAGGCAGCTTTAGCAAATTGTTCACATTTGGCGAGCGGAGCCTTAAAGCTGGCAAACAAAAAGGCTGAACATCTCAAATATGTGAATGGGTGTGTCTGAGGAGTGAGAGGGTTTATTTACTCTGGTGTTAGATCACAGTTGTAATGCGTGTTCAGCGAGTCTGCAAACTCAGAGATGGATTCGTGGAACAATCGGGATTTAGGTCAGCTGCATGTGAACAGTTTGGCTTTTTGAAGCGATCAGATCCTGAGATAAAGCTGCGCAGATGTCCACATGACTCACATTTTGTTCTGCAACAGTGTGATGGGATACTTAGCTGTTCACTCCACCTTTGGACTGAGCGTGTGCAAATGAGGGTTTTTTTTCCTGTAGGCTAGAAATGGAGGGGGAAAAGTGGAAAAACAAAAGTCCAGCAGTGTTTGATGTGGCGTCAGGCTGTCCAACTCCCTCCAGGTTTCTCCACCCAGCTTTGTACTGCTGTATGTTGACACACTCAACTTTCCAACAAAGCACTGATGGTCAGGAAGTGGGAGAAATATTGAAGTCTTAAGGGCTCAAAAAAGAAGGCAGCTGGACTGCTTCAGGGTGACTTCACAAGACTGCCACGACCTGGATGACTGAGCAGCTCCAAAGACGAGAAATATTAAACTAAACTATTTTCTTTTCTTTCTAGTTTGGCAGCATTCATAACATATAGATAAATTAAACTCAGCTGCTTGTAAAGCTAATTTCTTGCGTGTGCTTTCACTATTATGATCTGACAACAAGAACTGTAAGCTCTTACATCGTTCTGTTGTGTCCAAAACAAAAATGGATATAGATTTAAAGAAAATCATGTACTCTCTGGGCAATATTTACTTTAATTTTGTATATATTCATTTTGTTTTCTTTTTTCCTTTAAAAACTTTAGTGCTGTAAAAATGAGAACAGTAGCATTTTGAGACTTTGATCTTGGTAATACTTTATTTAAAGATGGAGCAGGTTTTGGGTTTAACATGAAACAAAGGCAGATATGAAATGTAAAAGTGAGATCAGAGATCAGATGTGACATATTTGGATGCAAACTGTAATGTGATATTTGGTTTTGTCATATATCACAGTCATTTCCTAAATGCTGACAATACAACGGCAGTTTAACTCGAACCCTTTATGTGAACCGCACATCTCGGCAGAGGGGATTTTTCGGCCTGTGTTCAGACTGCAGTACGTTGTGAATGGTTTGCGTTACTGTGATACGCCGAGTATCCCCGAAAAGCTCATTTTCACTTCCTTCTGAAAACCAATTTAATTTTGTCTCTACCAGAGAGGGTAACAGAGGTACAGTCGTTTAAAAAGGGTTTGTGAAATGAGCCCGCTGACGGGTTCAAAAAAAAAAAAAAAAAAAAAAGGGTGAAGCATAGTTTTAAAGATAAGACATTTTGCGAAAGTTTGACCTTATTTGACCTTGAAGAAGAGGTCAGACGTCCAAAGTAATGTGGTATTTAGGATCGCCACATATCATTCCCTGTATCCCCAATCTGATTTACCAAAAAAATACAAAGTAGAAAAGTGGCATGTGTGGGCTTCTTTAAAACATGTATTTTAAGGGCAAACACTGTGATAAATGGCTAACAGCATGGCTGACAAGGCAGTAACCAGCGCGGTTTCACAGTCATTTTCCTCCTCACGAGACGAGCATTAACCCTGCGCTGGCGATAATGCTCATCTCAGCCGTCCGAAATGAGCCTCCAGAAAGCAGCGGGTGATGTCACCGTAGCCTCATCCATCTTTCCCCTCTCTGGGGACTGAACTCTGCGATGTGAGAGAGAGGGGGGGACATCGCTCTCACTTAGCTTTTTTTAATTGGTGTCAGTTTGTAGATGCTGCTTGTTTTTCTCGTCCTGCTGTTCTGCGTCAGTCTGGTTCCCATTTACAAACGGAGTCCTCCCAGTGCTCTTTAAAACTCAACGGTACTATCGTGTACCGTCTCCCCCTCCCCCTCTTCACACTGCACTGTTTTTGTGAAGAGCATTGTCACACCAGTGTGTAAAATACGTTGTAAAAAGAGCACACAAACACACTGGCAGTTTATTCCTAGCTGACTGTGGCTACCATGTGGTAAATGGTCAGAAAGTCTTTGGTCATCTGCAGAGCTGTTATTTCACAGACCCACACAGTGAGTTTTCCTCTGGTCGAGGGTGGGGGCAGGAAGTCGGGGGAGGGGTCATCTCGGGTCAAAGCAGAGCTGCAGGAAAATGCCTCGGTGACCGCACTGAAGCAAGAAGCTGAATGCCTGAACGCACCATCCCACAACACACAAGACTGCAGTGGATTATGGGATGTTATAGATTGCAAAATTTCAGTAATTAGGTGTCCTCTCTGTTTAGTCTCAAATATTCAGACCCAATAATTAAACTTTCTGAAGAAGCTAAACTTTTTTTTTTTCTCTTCCTCTTTCAGGACTCTGAAATCGCTACAGATTGCAACCATGTAAGTGTGTGGGGTTTTTTTTCTTCTCTCTCTACCCTCACACTCCACCTCCTAGCATGCACTATGATGTCTTATAATTTTATGACGCAATGATTTTCCACTAAAAGTATGCACAAGTTTTGTAATGATTCATATAAACAACCGATAGCCAACATCGGTACTACTGCTTTTTTTTTCCCCCCCGCTATCCAGAAGTTTGTCTCATTAATGAATGTCTGTCACATTAAATAACAGAAAGACTTTATAATATAAAATGATTGACATGTTAAAATGTTGTTTTTATTTTTTATTTGTCCTGTTTTTCTTTCTTGGGTTTTTTCTCCACTCTGTCCTTATTGGTGTAATTGTCATACCTCGTATCTTCTCTCCCCCAGCTGCTGTGGAACTATAAGCTGAACCTGACCACAGACCCAAAGTTTGAGTCTGTAGCGGTGGAGGTCTGCAAGACAACCATCTCTGAGGTCAGTCGCTAAAAACAAATCTCTGCAGCTCAACTTGATGGTCTTCATTCAAGCCTCCAAACGATTAAAAGAACATCAGATAAACTGGCAAATTTTGAAGTTTTAAGACTGCTGTGATTTTGGAGTAGACTTTAAAATCAGGAACTAGAGCTGTCAGCACAATGTTAAGAAACTGCAGCCAGTTTTTATGTCCAAAATGTCGAAGAGATGTCAGAGGAATCGGGGCCGGGGCTGGTCGGTACTTATGTGTAATACTACAAGGTGGTGGAGTTAGTCAGTGTAACCTTTATTGACCAGTTAAGTCATTAACCCTTTAAAACCGGTCGGAGCGGGCACGCTCTGTTTTGCGTTACTATTTTTAAATCCTTGTAGAACTGGAACCACGTAAGCTAGCGCAATAATTTTTTTGCATATGAAACCGGAGGAGTTGTACTTACATCTTATGGCATCAGCTTGTCCTCGGTCACGGTTTCCTTCCACATATGGCTTTGCAAAAACTGCATAAAAAGCACTTGCAGCAACAAAAATATAATATTCCAGAAACACGCTTTGCCGATCCGATCAGCTGTTCATAACACTTCCTACGTTGGAATAGACGTCAGCGCGATCTATTGCATTTCCGCCATTACTTGCCAGAAACCGGAAGTGATGTCATTTTCGCGGAAAATGTAGGGGTTTTTTTTTTTTTAACCTTCGGGGCATTATAAGCCTATACTGGTGTTTTTAAAAGGTATGTTTGACTTTATGCTTTTCTGAATAGTTTCTGGGATGTTTAGAACTCATATTGCACTGCTGGAAATAGTTTATTTTGATGCATATGCTGTTTCTTTTTTTTGCAAATTTGCATTATAATATTTATTTTCGTTTTTCCTGCAGTATATAAAAATTGGTGTATCTCAAAAATAAAACTATGAAGACCATCAAAGTAAATTTCCTGTTGTTGGAAACTATTTTGTGCAACTTTTTTGTATTTACAGTTTTGAGGGATAAACCTCTTAAATTTCTCTAACTAGAAATATATGGTAAAAAACCAAAAACGATTTTCAATTTTTTGTACTTTATTGCCCTTTTTTTGCACTTTATGTAGTTTCTATGGACTTAATGCATACATATTCTTAAAATTTGGGCTATAACGGTTGTATTGATGTATTGCAACTTGAAATGCTCCCACAAATGGCTCCACAGCATGTAAAAATATAAAGATAAGTTCTGGCAGACTTGGTTCTATGGTAGGTCTTAAAGGGTTAAAGCCGTTTTTCCAGATTAGTACCTACTCGGATCGGCAGGTTTTCACTTACAATTGAGTAACACGTAATGTGAGTGGTCGTCATGGCAACGCTGCCGAGCGTCCTATGACGTAATTAGTATGTGACACGAACGCTACAACATAGGTGGACGTTGACGATATCCCTGCTGCTCGGTCTGTGGCTTTCCGCCAGACTCGGGGAGCACGGTGTGTTGCCGGGTTTCAAAAATGGCAGTTTTGATTTTCGTGAACGAGGCGTCACTCGATGAGTTCAGCCAATCGGTGGACTCAAACGAAAGCAAATGTGTGAATCCATTTTTTTTTTTTTTCTTCCTCCTTTCATCGTCTGCTCGTGTTCAATGCTTTCATTGCCATCGCAGTAGTTTTGTGTTTGTTGGTCTCTGTGCTTTGGGACAAAATCATAGATCATAAAATTTCAGCTGGTTCCTGATCTGGAAGTGATGGGCATGTTGGAAAATATGAGTGGTTAATTGGATTTTATTTATTTAGTTTTAATTAATGGCTGCAGAGGGACAAACACATTTTTCTGCCATTGAAAAGTTGTCACACAGCACTGAGGAAAAACTGCTTACAGATATTTCTTTTCAGTCCGGGTGGTTTTCCTATGGAAGGGCAAAATCTGTTCACGACCCTCACCAATGTAAACCTTTAGCATGAATTACAGTAAAAGGTCCAAATCTAGAAACGATTGGAGTGCAGTACCAGGTAGCACGAAGAAAAGTGCACAGATACAAATGGAGAACTTTTAAAAATGTATTTATTTTTTTCAATGAAAATCACAATTTCTAGATTTTTGTAGGAAAAAGGACATTGGTACATTCAAGTGTAAAAATAAAGCTGAGTTAATCAGAAGTGTTCAGACCTCGTTGTTCTGGACAGGTGACACGAGGTGCTTTTAAAGGCAGGTTTATGTTTCAGCTCTCACCGAAGTGTCGCCTTCGCTTTTCTCCATTCAGATTAAAGAATGTGCCGCGGAGGAGCTGGGGAAAGGTTACCTGGTTTCCTGCCTTGTAGATCACCGTGGCAACATCACCGACTACCAGTGCAACCAGTACATCACCAAGATGACCACCATTGTTTTCAGTGATTACCGGCTGATCTGCGGCTTCATGGGCAAGTGTCGCGATGACATCAACACGCTGAAATGTGGCAGCATCAGCACCGGAGAGAAGGTGAGGAGAAGGGATGTCGGACTTCAGAGAAAGAAGCTTGTTGTGTTTGACTAGTGCTGCTTGGTTATTGGTGGAGTAACATCTGTGTCGCTGACTCGTTGTTTTTGGCTCTTATTTACACTCATGTTGTTAGATGTATAAATAATGGGTTTGTATTCAGAACATTTGCTTGATTAGATAATTCTCTACTTTATTTTTCTTCTATTTTTTTTTAGGAGATGGAGATGAGATTGTAGTCAGTAATGTTCTGCACATTGTTATATTGCCCATTAACTTGAGTCAATACCTACGAACCAATAATCTGCCATGTTTGTTGTTGTTTTTTTGGGGGGGGCGGGGGGAAATCATGCATTTCATTTGTATGAGCTGTTAAAAATGAATGTTATTAGTTTTTAATGTTTATTTCAACTTGTTTTTTCAGTTTGTACCCAACAGGTGCTTGCTTAGGATACTAATGTGAACCTATATCGTGACAATTATTGAAAACATTCAATACAATACAAAAAAGTTAAAATATTGACGCGAGCTCTAGTCGCAGGTTCATATAAATCGAAGCCCTAACTGTTATAAATTTGGTTGAATTAGACAAGATCTTGCAGGAGAAACTATAGCTGGTTGTCAGGAATCTTATGTTGATGTGTCCAAAGAAACTGCAGCACCAAATGGACTGCTGCACACACCACAGTTGAAGTAGTTTGTGCTGAATGAGCGCTCCCAGATGCCTCAGGATGTGTTTCTGATGCTGGAGGGTGAATTTGTGGTGCACGACTTGATGAATGTTTCAAATGGAAATCTCACAGTTGTTGCAGGTTTACAGCAGAGGTTTAAAAATGGCGGCCTCTCTGGAGGTGTGTCGATGTGTCAGAGAAGATGACATGAGATCTAACTACGCCGTAGCTGTACATCGAAGATTGTTTATAGTGCTGCTCATATTCTTACTGACCTGCTGGATTTTGGTCGGAGAGCAGATAAAACTCAAAGTGGACTGAGCTCAAATGAGAGAAGAGGAGTTTGTAGCAGCTTGTCAGCGAGCAGAGCGAATCGATCTTCCACTGAACGTGTTTCCCTGCCGCAGAGCTCCATAAGCTCCTCAGACACACACTTATTATCACGTTGGCACGATTAGAGCTCAGAGAGGATGATTTATCTGTGGGCGGGAGTGCTTTTAGTTTCATTATCAGAAATTTGTCACAGTGGCTCTGAGTGGAAATCGGACAGACCATGTTGGCGCTTTAACTTCTCGCACACTGGAACGACACGAGGCAGGATTGTTTATGAACTGATTCTCAAAATGAGAAAATGTGTTATTAACTCAGCTTTAACTTGATGTTAAACTTTAAAATCAAGCTTCAGCTCTCTACTTTGTGAAATTAATCAGAAATTTGTCTTCCACCTGTTGTTAAAACTAGATGGTTGAGATGAAACGACTGTTTGCACTCTCCTAGATTCCTGAATATAAAAAGATAAAGCCCATCTGGACTCTTATCTAGTCCTTGATCTCACAGGCTTAAAAGACAAAGGAGGAAACAAAAACTGAGGAAAAGGAGCGCGCGCAGTAGCGAGTAAAGCCATTGTTTTATAGATGAGGTGTTTATGTGGATTTGGACGGGAAAGCAAACCCTGAGCCTCCTGAGCATTTAGCTGACAAAGAACAAACGTTTTCCAAGAGCAGAAGCACAAAAGGTCGCTGAAACTGTGTTTAATTTATTTATTTTCTGCAGCTGACCTCTGTATTTGGTGATATCTCACTATACGAAGCGGCCCGGCTTCTTGTAGATAGCTTGTTGATATCATTTCTTGGCTTATCTGTAGAACTGACAAAGGAGATGAGGTTGGTGTGTGTCATTGAGAACTGCATGACCCAATGTGCATGTTCTCTTTGACACATTACATAATAGATAGAATAAATAAAAATAAACTGGTGCTGTTCAATTCAGTTTACACCAACTCCAATCAACTTTGAATAAGTATAAAGGAGACGTTTCAAATGCACCAACTTGTTTTGACCACCCACCTTTCCCACTGACTGATATGAGCCTTTACCCACAATGCATTTCTTTAAGTTGCATTGTGAGTTTCTGTTCCTCACAGGCAGGAAACTGCTGCACTTGTAATAATTCATGATATTGGGGCACAAAGCTGGAAAAAGTGTAGATATCTGCTGGACTAATGAAGTGATAATGTTAAAATAGCTGCTGTCTGGAAACGAATCCTTGTCGTACCGGAGCTGAGCCACACCGGCAGTAGTAACTGTGGTACCTTTGCCCTCCTCACAGGACGTCCACTCTCAGGGCGAGGTGATCGCCTGTTTGGAAAAAGGTTTGGTTCGTGAAGTCGAGGACCAGGCGGGGGCGCACGTCATCAGGGAGGAATGTAAAAAGGCCATCATGAGAGTCGCCGAGCTCTCCTCCGACGACTTCCACCTGGACCGCTACCTCTACTTCTCCTGCAGAGACGACAGAGAACGCTTCTGTGAAAACGTAAGAATCCTTTATTCTAGAGCTCAGAGGATTCTTTTATTCAATTATTTTAAATTGATCAGTAATACTCTTAAATGTCACATTCTGGAAACACTTTCTAACGTTCTCTTCTCCCGATCTACCCTTTTTTTTTTTTTAAATATTCTATATCCTATTTAAAAAAAAAAAAAACTGCTAAATTTGTATTATTTGTAAGCTGAAGTACCATCCAACTAGGGTCTTCTCAAATTAACGTCCCTTTGTTTCAAGATGAGCTAAAATGTGTTTCTCTGAATGTGCAGATTAGCCGAGACTATATGACGTTAGCACGAGAAGTTAACGATCAGAAAAATCCAGATGTTTTTATTTACTTTGAAAGTTAGAAGACAAACCTTTAAACCGTGAGGGAGAAATTACTTTGTGAACATTCAAATTAAAATGAACTAACAGTACCTGACAGTATAAACTACCCAACTACATTATTAAATATTATAATGGAAGACATTATTCATTTGTTACTCGCTCAAAAAAAAGTTCTTCAGTGGATCCAAAGTGATAAACTATAAAGAAAGATTGCGGTTTTCCCACGTTGGTTTCTTTTCACTGACTCCTGAACTGAATTGAAAGTTCACGTTAAAGACGTCATAGTTATCTCTGACTGCAGGCTCGTTTGTGGTTCCTGGGAGATTTAAAATTAGAATGTGAGGTAGAGCCTTCAGCTTTCAGGCCCGTGTGCTCCGAACCCAGCTCCCAGTTTGGATTCAGCTGCTCTACTTTTTAAGATTAACCTTCAGTCTTTCTGTTTTTTGGTAAAGCCTATAGTTGGTTAGTTAGTTGCTGCCTTCTGTGTCACATGGGATAAAGAGAAGTTGTAGTTGTTACCTAACATTAGTAAAGCACCTTAAAATGACTGAATTTGAAAGTTGATGAACTTTTTCCTTTTTTTTTTTTTTCCAGACTCTGGCTGGGGAAGGAAGAGTTTACAAATGCCTCTTCAATCACAAGTTTGAGGATTCCATGTCTGAGAGGGTGAGTGCCATTTACTGTGTCCACATTTTATTTATAGAGATTTTTTTTCCTCTACAAAATACTTAAAATGAACCTTTTCCATCTCCTGGTGATGGGGAAAAAGTCTTATAGTGATGATGGTTACAGAACAATGAAGTGTACAAATTGTGATGGATACGGCCTTCCTGCAGATTAAAAATCAGACTCGTTGAGCATTCAGTTGTGTAATAAGTGTCTGTGTATGTTGTGTGTCATCAGTGCCGCGAGGCGCTGACCACCAGACAGAAACTGATTGCTCAGGACTACAAGGTCAGCTACTCGCTGGCCAAAGCCTGCAAGTCGGACCTGAGGAAGTACCACTGCAACGTGGACACCAGCATGCCCCGAGCGAGGGAAGCTCGCCTGTCCTACCTTCTGCTGTGTCTGGAGTCAGCCGTCCATCGAGGTGAGCAGACCTTTATCTGTCGCTCTTGGCTCCAGCAACTAATTAATGTCCCTTTTTGTTTGTGTGGCACTCAGAGGCCACTGAGAGCTCAATTACATGTCACTCATTGCTCTGTTTCTCCACTACGAACCCGCTCCTGTTTATTTTGCTGAAGACTAGTCTGAGGCAGACAAAGTAAAACTGTCGAGTTTGTGTGAGGGTAGAAGGTTAGTTTCATTTAACCTCAGAAGTCAGTTTCCAGGTTGGTTCCTCGAGTTGTTTTTGTGAAATGTGTTTGAATATTTTGTGCTTAAACGAGATACCACAGCTACAGTGTGTGTGTGTGTTTTTCAGGTCGTGTGGTCAGCGGCGAGTGTCAGGGTGAGATGATGGATTACAGGCGGATGCTGATGGAGGATTTCTCTCTGAGTCCTGAGATCGTGCTGCACTGTCGCAGTGAGATTGAGAGTCACTGCTCCGGTCTGCACCGCAAAGGACGAACGCTGCACTGCCTAATGAGGGTCGGCCGAGGAGACATGGGCGCCATCGATCCCAGCTGTCAGAAGGCGGTGAGATGGCATTTATAATATTCACTGTATGGTTACAGAAACATTTACATAGATATCACTGTACAGATTTACCTGCATGAACACAACTGTTTGACCGTCCCACAGCCATATTCCTACATGTCCCAGAATGTCGTGTAATGTCTTGCGCTCACTTTTTGATTTTATTATGATATTTTTTCCATCCACAGCTGCAAACGTTGATCCAGGAAGCCGACCCCGGGGCCGACTACCGCATCGATCGGGCGCTTAACGAGGCCTGTGAGTCCGTCATCCAGACCGCATGCAAACACATCCGCAGCGGCGACCCCATGTGAGTCCTCGTGGAGGGAGAGGGATCCAGCAAATAGAAATCCTAAAATTTGACACAGTAGAAAGTGCAATGATCCCACCTGCTGTATGATCATGTGGATTAAAAACCTGAAGAAGAACCGACCGTTCAAGGTCTTATGGCTGCTGCGCCGTGTGGCTGAGATGTGAATGCGTTTGTGTTTCCTGATCCTGCAGGATCCTGTCGTGTCTCATGGAACATCTGTACACTGAGAAGATGGTGGAGGACTGCGAGCACAGACTGCTGGAGCTGCAGTACTTCATCGCCAGAGACTGGAAGTAAGTCCTGCCGACAGGCTGAAGAAAGTCTATTTTCGACATTAATGAGGTTCAGATGATCATCTTCAATTTAGTATATCAGTTTATTGGTATTTGGTAATTGATCATTTTAGTTGTATTGCTTTTTAACAAGGCTGCTGTAAAAGTATTCTTGGTTAGTTGATTGCCTCCATTTAATACTGCGACCATAGATGGTATAAAAACACTTGTTAGTAAAGTGCTGATTGGAAGCCTTGAGAGTTTTGCTGTTGCCATCTGCTTTGAAGTGAAAGTTGACAAGTGAGGATCTGAAGTGAACCTGAACTTAGGGAGGCATTTAGACGGGGTGGTTTTTCTCATAGATGTCTGTGGGACTGGAAGGATTTTTACAACCACAAGCACCGCCCCCCTGGCTTTTTTTTTTTTTTAAAGTAGGTTTAAGACAGTTCTGCATTGGTTTTACGTTTCAGAGCCAGGATCTTCGTCTATCTTTTATTCTGTCTGTGCTTTAGTCCCAAAGAGACAGCTGCAGGTATTAATCTGCCTGTTACATCCTGTGTCGCTGCTTAGGTTGGATCCGATCCTGTACAAGAAATGTCAGCCCGATGCATCCCGACTCTGCCACACTCACGGCTGGAATGAGACCAGCGAGTTGATGCCACCTGGTGCCATTTTCTCATGCCTGTACCGCCACGCCTACCGCTCTCTGGAGCAGGGACGAAGGGTGAGTCTCTGCCGTTGATTTAATCTAATGATTAAATGTGAAGGTTACAGCACTTGGAGATCTCCAAGTGCTGTTTTAGATTTGTTAATAGAACAGTTTGTTTCAGAAGAGGTAACTGTAAAGCACAAAAACCTGGCTTATAGGGCATTCATGCAGCCATAGGAGCTCTATTTACATTAGGAAAGTAGACTAATTTTATAAAGAGACTGTGCACTGTGGCTCAGTGAAGTGTTGCCTTAATTGTGTGACTGCTTACAGTATTGCAATTAGTACAGTGTACATTTTGTTTTCAAATGACCACTGCAGTTTTTTGGACTAATTTGGACATTTTTATGCCAAATAAGCGATTTACAGGGGGAACGTTTTGTATACTCTCAGTGGCTTGAAAGGCCTCTGAATTCAAATTAGTTAAAAAAGTGCATTTTTCTACAGTTTAGGCTTTTTAAATAAAAGGTCATTTAAATGTTCCTTGCTTTAAGTTTTCTGTGTCTGCACAGTTGTTTCTGTTTTTGTTCTCAAGGTTGTGACTTATCTGTAGGCTCAGCCTAAAAGTGCAGATACAGAAGTTAAACCCTTGTTTAGTCTGATGAATTTCTGCCAAATGTGAAAAATACTGGAAATGTTTGCAGTTTGAAGGAGGTGAAGACAGCTGTGACGAATTCAGATGAAGTGACTTTAATCTTTATTTAATATAAACACACAAAGTTGCTTTAAGCCTGAACTGACAACAACTTGCATGTGTGAAGAGGTAAATGTAAGGTGCCAAATATATACAGGAAGTCTCTGACCACAGAATGCTCTCGTAGTTCCCCAGTGGGGAGTCTGAAGCGGAAAACCATGGTTCGATGGTGAGTACCTCTTACTGCTGCTGATCTCATGATGCTGCTCACAGAATCGCATCTTGGATGATTACTGGTGGTTTGTAGAGGAGAAGTGATTGTGTTGGATAATTCCCACCCACTCTCAGTGCATGTGGGAGCTGGCTTTTAATTGCTGAAGTGAGCTGCTGAACCCTGAAGTGAAGAATCAATATGACAATCCACTTACGGAAAACTTGGTGATGCTGATGATTCAGCTGCAGCAAAATTAAGCCTTTGATTTAAACAAGCAGTGTAGGAAACGCTGGCTGTGTTTAAGGTGATACTCCACCCAAAATGTGTTTTTTCCAGTCCTGCTGAGGCTTGTAACAAGTTGTGTGAAATTAGTTAAACACCCTATGATGTTACAGAGAGAACCTTGCTAATCTAATTATCCTCTGTGTAGCATCTGGCAGTGGTGGGGAGGAAGAATTCCCTTTTGACAGGAAGAAACGTCCATGAAAACCAGGAAGTTGTAAAACGCTGCAGTACCTGGAATGTCCACTTGAGGCTTGAGTGTAGAGTCGGTCCCATAGACCAGGGGTGCTCACACTTTTTCCGCATGTGAGCTACTTATAAAATGACCAAGTCAAAATGATCTACCCACTACAAAAATCCAAAACATATACTTATTTATAAATATATTGAGGATTCTTTATATCTACAATGTATATACATGCATAACCGCAATATCCAATATTTCACAACACAATTAACTATGTAAATTTTTTGTCATTACCTGAGTTTACTCTGATGACTTGCACTGAATTGAATCAGCCAGGGATGCATAGTCCGGACAGTAGCTGCTGACGGCCAGGTTTAAGAGAAAAAACCGAGAGCTAAAAATTGGAGTTAACTCGCTGACTAGCTTGTCAGTTTTACTACACTTCGCGCCGCTGTTTGCGCATGCGCAGCGACCTAAGCGTCAGAAAAAATCTGATGTCATCTGACTGGCTTCCCTGTATCAATCAAGTGACGGGATGGATGATAGGCTGGCATCTATTTTTTTAATGCCATGCGATCTACCAATACTACCTCTGCGATCGACTGGTCGATCGCGATCGACGTATTGAGCACCCCTGCCATAGACTAAACATGTTGTAAACATGTTTACAGCCTGCTGCAAAAAATGTTTTGGCCTATATGGGAAGTTTCACACACCTTGAGCAGGTGTCTGTGCTCCAGCGGTCATTAATATCAATGCATTTTAGTAACCTGGGAATGTGCAGCTGCATTACAAGTACAGACTGGAGAAATACAGTGTGACAAAATCATTAATAGCTTTTTAAAGAGCTCAAAAATCGCAAAGACCTGTATACAGTGCAACGCTGATAATGAAGACTTGATTAGTAGAAAGGTAATGCTGCTCTCCGCCATTGTCGTCTTTGTTAATGAGAAATAAATGGCGAAAAACAAGTGCCACAAAAGTATTAACGTTTAATGTCAATATCACACTCACATTTTATCTGTTAATACTGAATTAAACGTACAAATCTAAAGGCTTTTGAGGATTAAATGTGAAGGACAGACACACTGAAAATCTTGGGTGGAGTATCATTTTACAGTGTCCGTGATTAACAGCAGCCGATACTTTGGTGGGTAATTTGATGACGATGTCGTCATCGTCGTCCTCCTGCAGCTCTCCCGGGACTGCAAGGTGGAGGTGCAGAGGATTCTCCACCAGAGGGCGCTGGATGTGAAGCTGGACCCTGAGCTGCAGAGGCGCTGCATGACTGACCTGGGAAAGTGGTGCAGCGAGAAAACGGACGCCGGGCAGGAGCTGGAGTGCCTGCAGGACCACCTGGACGACCTGGTTGCTGACTGCAAGGAGGTGGTGGGAAACCTGACCGAGCTGGAGTCAGAGGTTAGCTTGTCTCCGCACACTGCAGTTTCTTTAAAGCGTGCAACGTGCAAAACATTAGGCACAAACATGAGACAACTGATGTTTCCAAGGTTCCTTTGAGGCATTAAAGGTATTAAAATCAAAGGAAGTAAGGGCTTGAAATGAGTTTTGCATAAATTTTCTGTATGTAGTTAAAGATGATTAAGGATGATTAAAAAAAAGACTTGGCCCTTTTTTATAGGTGTTTACAAACCAGTTTCCAGTTGTCTGAAAAGTTGTATTATTTGCACTGAATTACTGGCAGGCAGCAGGTGGGGCATCAACCTGATAATTAACTTCTCAGTATAGTACGCAGACATTTGGACTGAAATAGTGAGTTTGAGTCCCACTCTGATAAAAGCAGGTAAACCTGAACTGGCTGAAGTCATTTTGAGTTTGTGATTTCCGTCTGCAGGATATTCAGATTGAGGCGCTGCTGATGAGAGCTTGTGATCCCATCATTCAGGCCCACTGCCATGTAAGTATGAACTGATGAGCACATCTTCCTTCAAACTTCAATTCTTTGGACATTTTCTGTGTTTTGGTTGAATATACTAAGTTTGGTTGAGACTCTACAACAGCCTCCAAGCAAACTGATGTTCCTGTGACTGAAGCTGCGACGCGTAATGTTTTTCCTTAGCAGGTCAGAGACGCCATATACTCAACAATGGAATTGAAGCATGATGCACAAAAAGCTGAAGGCCTGCCAAGGAGGATATTTTGCAGTCTAGTTAAATTAAAAAAAATTCATCTGTAACAGCAAAATCAAATTTTCTCTTGTGGACAGTCCCCATGCTCTTATTTTGAAAATTCTCTGCAAACCAGCAGTCCTTTCACAGCTCATGTTTTCCTTCCAGTAGGTTCATCTTTTCACAGTTGTGAGACAGTCATTTCCAAAGCTGCCCTCTTATTTATTGCCACAGTGTTGTCTGGTTTATTAATATATATGTGCTTCTCCTTTTGTGCCCCCCTGAAGTTACAACTTCTGAGGGGTTATTTGTTTGTTTTTAGGATGTTGGGGGCTGGACTGAAATGGTCCCTGACCTGGGTTTTCCCATGTGTGGTCTAAGTTCTTGACCACAAAACAAAATTTCAAAGTTTCTGTGTTTGGTCAAAGCTGGCGCCACACGAAGAGCTCGCTGTACTTTGCTAAAATGCTCATGAACAAGTTCTCGTCACACTGAGAGGTTATTTTTGATCAGATGAATAAGACGGTGACTTTTATTTTTTAACTCACTTGAACCATCTTGCATCTATGCAGTGTGCAGGAAATTATTAAGGCACTTTAGAGGAGAAGCACATTTTTCACAGCTCTTTCAAAGCATCTTCTGCTAAATACAGCATGTTGATTACTTTTGTCAGTTTCAACATATTTCAGAGGAAGTTGTCGATGAGTTCAGTCTTCCTTCTCCTTTTCTCTGTGCGCCTGGCAGGAGGTGGCTGATAACCAGATCGACTCTGGTGATCTGATGGATTGTTTGGTTCAGAACAAACACCAGAAGGAGATGAATGAGAAGTGTGCCGTGGGAGTGACACACTTCCAGCTGGTGAGCAGACTGATGGAAATGTGTTGGTGCAGGAGTAGAAGAAGAATGAGCTCCTAATGTTTTGTTATGCAAAATCTTATCAGTTTAGAAAGGCTGTAATATTCCTGCAGCTTCTTGAAATCATTAATAACCAACTGCTCTGACTGCCCTTCCGCCTGTCCACAGATTCAGGTTAAAGATTTCCGTTTTTCCTACAAGTTCAAGACAGCCTGCAAGGAAGACGTCCTCAAACTGTGTCCCAACATCAAGAAGAAGTAAGACAAATACAGACTTGAGCAAAATCAGCCATAGAAGATATCACAAATACAAAAAGCACCAGTATGTCCAACAGTTGATTGGATATGTGACCATACAATCTGAATCTACTGTCTGATTGGGTTGTTTTTCTAAACATACCCTCAGTTTTTAGGTGTTCGTGTTAGTGGTGTCCAGTCAGATACAGTCCTGTTAGACCTGCTGAGGTTTCCAGCTCTCTGTGTTTCAGAGTGTGACCGATGGCTGAATTATACTGTGAGCTGCCAGCAGCCTTTTTCCATCCAGCAGTCCAAACACTGAGGACAGTTTCACATGTAGGATATTTTTTAAAGGAAATTATCTGGACTCACAAGCCTTAGAACTCCGCACTGCTCTGTGATCACTTCTAAGTTGTTGTTTCTGGGTTTGAGAATGTAAATGTTGTAGAAACCTAAGATTGTAACACTGCAGTTGGTGGAAATGTATATTTATGCATTGATGTTGACCACTCAAAGCTCCTTGAACTGCATGCTACATTCACACAGATCTTTATTCTATGCATTGGAGAAATTTATCTGCATTGCATAATTAGCTATGGTGATACTCGTGTCCATTGGATGTCTGTGAAAATCATAACTCCCAAGTTATGATGATGGAAAAAGAGCTTTTCAGGTTTGCAAGCATGAACCTGTGGATGGATCTTTACTGGTTTCCTGTAGTTTAAGTCTGCAGATCACTGAGGGTCTCTCAAGCAGTCCGCTGCTTACTGGGCCTTCTCACCTCTGTCACCTGGCAGGCATGCTGCAGGCCAGCAGGGGTCTGCAGTTAATATTGAAAGATGGGTTTTAGACAGGCTAATCTGAACCTAGTGCTGGATTTGCAGACCACTTCAGGGTCTGTTGCATAGTTTTTCTTTCTACATACAATACAGGTTGAAAAGTGGGCTTCAACAGGAAGTTCACCGAGGGGGAAAATTACAGCACTAGATTGCAGCGAACTGAATTCTGTCATCTTACTCCTCCTGACTGAAGTATGTAGTCTAGCTATGGTGGCTGCTGTAGGACAAATAGCTTTGGCTGCCATCCATCTGTAGTGAGTGTCGGCTGCCAGTTTGCTGTTTACATCAACTGGTGTCTATTCACTCTGGAGGAGGCTGTAGAACGAGTGTGTGTAAGATCGGTCGATGAGTAAGAGAAGCTCTCTTCTGACCGATAACAGCGACACTGAGGTGAACTGTTGAGCTTACTCCTCTGTGGGTAAGCTCAGCCGGTGTTAGTGAAGTTGTGGAGTGGATCTAACATTGTTGGATGTGAACACTTGTAATTAGACATGAATGTTTTTTATTTTGCTTTTTTTTTTTTTAAATAAACTCAGAAAATGACTGACTGCACCTTTTAAAGATGAAAGAAGCACTAAGAGAAGTACAGGCAGCAGCTGCAGTGGAAAACTAATTATTTAAACCTCTGTTTCACTTTGAAGCTGCTGAAGCCCACTTTGGTTGTTCTAAATATGTTGACACTGCCCCCTGGTGACAGTGCATAGCTACAACATGTAGCTGTAGCTTGGTGTGTAAGCTTTGGGTCAGATGAATTCACACCCATGCTGGCCACTAAACTCCACTCCATCTCCAGCTGTGGTTTTCCCCAAAAATGTATTTGGTGTAATTTGCTTAATTGAGCTTCACTGTTACTCAGCAGTTTATCCTAAGACAGATCTTTCTACTTCATTTTTTTTCTTTAATTAAAACTTTGAATTGGACACTTTCTGCTTTTCCTGCTTTACTTTTTTCTCATCTGCTGATCATACTGAATCTGACTGGTCGGGTGAACCTCTGTGACTTCCTGTCGTTGTCAGGGTGGATGTCGTGATCTGCCTCAGCACCACGGTGAGAAACGACACCCTGCAGGACGCCAAGGAGCAGCGAGTGTCTGTCAAGTGTCGTAAACAGCTGCGGGTGGAGGAGGTGGAGATGGTATGTTCTCTGACTCTCTGTCACAGTCGGGCAGTGTAACGTCCTCAGGTTTGCTGTTGGTTAGCGAGAAACCGCCCAGAAACATATGAAACAGCCCAACATGCTGTTAAAAGAAAATGATTTTAGAACCTTTATTTTTAGGCTAAGTATGTTTGGTTTTCTGTGAGTTTATAAAAGAGATTTAACCCGTGTTTGTAAAAACAGTTAAAATATATTTCTTTATCAGGACGCATGTGCAGATGGTTCTAGTTCACAGCAACAGCAGCTGCAGTTTTATAACACCTTTTTGTGCAGTTCACAGCACATCACACATGACTGACAAACCCAATAAGACACAAGAAAATGAACAAAAATGGATTAGAAGCAGTTAAAAAGAAATCAAATATAAAGTAATGCTTGGAAAAAGTGTTACGAAAAGAAAACGCTAATATATAATGATAGAAAACATGCAGCACAAAGACTTAAGAAGTCAAAATATTAAGATGGAATAACACTTGGATACCCTGATGTCAGTAGGTGCGTATTGAAATGTAAATAGAGTAAACTGAGATGAGCGGATCTAGTTTATGTTCCTTTCACTTTTCCAAACCTGGAGTAAAAAGTAGCAGCAAACGGCATCGTCTAAGGTTCCTCCTGGGAGCATCTGGTGTTTTTTCTCTTTTCTGGTGTGCTTTGTTGAAGCGAGCAGAGATCCTTCGTGTCTTTAAAGTTTTTATTTTGTGTCTGTTTCCTTTAAATTCTCCAAATCTACCTCAAACGTCTGCAGTCAGAGGACATCCGTCTGGAACCGGAGCTGTACGACTCCTGCAAGACCGACATCAACAGGCTGTGTCAGAACGTGGCCTTTGGGAATGCACAGGTCAACACACACACACACACACACACACACACACACACACACACACACACACACACACACACACACACACACACACACACACTAGTTAATGAGTATGAAGGATCCTCCTGAGTTGAACCCAGAACGTTATTTTTGCCGTTCGCATCTCTTCTGATATAATTAAAAACAACCTGTAAACACTCTGTGGACCATGTTAGAACCAAACTTTAGCCGCCACCGCCACAGTGCAGACAAAAGTGTTTCCTTAACACTGAACGAATGAAGAAAGAGCCGGCAGCTTTAAAACCTAAAACAATTTTACTGCCAGTAGATTTTACCTGTAACTTTGTTGATAAATCCGTAAAATACAAAGTACGAATGTAAGGAGTTGAAGAAAATTTTTAAACAGTCTGAACTGTACAAAAAAGAATTTATTTATTCATTTATGTCTTTATTGGCTTCATCTCTGCAGGTTATCGAGTGTCTGAAGGAGAACAAGCGTAAGCTGAGTTCGCAATGCCACCAGAAGGTCTTCAAGCTGCAGGAGGTGGAGATGGTTGATTCTGAACTTGACTATCAGCTGATGAGAGTCTGCAAGAACATGATCAGAGTAAGCAAGAGAAGAAAAACAAGATCAGTTTCCTTCACTCTGAATTGTGGACATGAATCTTAGGATCAGGATTATTTCTTAGCGAGTAATTCAGACCATGTAGCAGCGTGTTAATGGCTAACCTTATGTTGTGGATGGATCATCTCAGACATTCTCTTGGCTGAAGTCTTTTCATCATCACAATCTTGTTTCTGGGTTATGATGGTGTTTGTCTCTGCCCATCGGGAACGCTTATCCTCCATCTTCTCTGTGCTGTTTTGTAATTTAACGAAGAATAAAACAGTTTTTCATCAAATGACCAGAAACATCACAGACTCGTTATCTTATCCTCTGGTGTCGGTGGCCCCTCAGAGGGTTTCTTTTGGTTAAATATGGGCCTGGGGGGGTGGGCGTTTCTTTAATTGTGGGTCCACGAGGGTTTGATGTTTGTTATTGTGATTGAGCCGAATGTAACGGGCTGTTTGATGTGTTCAGCGCTTCTGTACAGAGTCAGAGGGGAAGAACGTTCTTCAGTGTTTGAAGCAGAACAAGAACAGCGAGATGATGGATCCCAAATGCAAGCAGATGATAACCAAGCGACAGATCACCCAGAACACAGGTGCGCGCGCGCACACACACACACACACACACACACACACACACACACACACACACACGAAATGGAAATGAAATGGAAAGATTAATTAGAATAAAGCAGCTCAAGTCTAAATAAGCCGAGGTGGGAGAACAGATGAAGTGTTGCTTGTTAGCATGAGATCAGATTTTCATCTGTTATGCGTTTGTTTCCAGACTACAGGCTGAACCCGGTGCTGAGGAAGGCCTGCAAAGCCGACATCCCGAAGTTCTGTGACTCCATCCTAAAAAAGGCCAAGGATGAAACCGAGCTGGAGGGTCAGGTCATCTCCTGCCTCAAACTTAAATACGCTGACCAGGTGAGAGCCACGGCTGACTTTACCAAACCACAGTGTTAGATTAGTTTCACACCTCACATCCAGGTTTTACTGGCTCTAGGGACGCTGCTTCACTGAGCAAAAACATTCAAACTGATTTTATTTCAACAAATATGGACCTGTAATTTATTTGTTTCATCTGTTAGGTGTTGATCATACACTTACAGCTAAGAATAGTTGGGTCGGGGGTTATTCTGCTCATTTCCAGATCTGTACTTTTATTCTTTGTCTCCAGTGAAGTAGCTTTAGTGCAGCTCCTCAGTTCATCCTCTGACTGAGACTAGCTGTTTAAGTCCCTCCCCCTTAAATCAGCTTTCTTCTTATTGGTTGCCCATTGTAAACAGAAGGTTTGAACAACCTCTATACCTGTGACATTATTTCTGATATGTCCTCATTGTCTGGGATCATTAGGATCCCAGAGAAGACAAAAGACTCTGAGCTTTTGGCTGCTGAATAATTATTTGAAACTTCAGAAATGTTTAATTTGAGCAACCCCGGATCTGCAAGAGAGTGTTGCTCTCTATCCACACAACTTTTAATCAATCACAATAAGATGAGAAGCGTTGGTGAGTCCGCCTGTAGATGGTGAAGGAGTTATTTGTGGAATAAAAGTTTATTTTTGTGTGTGTGGCAGCGTTTGTCTCCTGACTGCGAGGATCAGATCCGGGTCATCCTGCAGGAGTCGGCGTTGGACTACAGACTGGACCCTCAGCTGCAGATCCAGTGTGCAGAAGAGGTTTGCTGCTCTCCACTTTCACTGTGACACACAGTTTATTCTTCCCATCACTCCATCCTAACTCAGGTGTTCATTTTGTGCCCGAGCACATGCGTCATAATTATTCTTATTGGGTAAATATTTAGGAATAAAAACGGCTGACATTCACTGTGATGTAGTCATGTCTCCAGCAGGAGGTGCCAGCTGCTTGGTAATAAATTACTGCACAGATATCAGCGGTACTTTTACGTTCTACTTGCTTCTGGGTTCTTTTGGATCATTTAGAGGGGGTAAACATGGATATGACCTTCCTGTGCACCTTTACATTTGAAGGCATGTATGCAAAAAGCAGCTAAATATGTTCATGAAAACAACACAAGTGCTAAAATTAAACAAAGAGTAAAAATATGAATGTCTTTCATGCACACGTGTTGCTCCTACGCTTCGTTCTGTCAGAAGATGTCGAACAAAAGATGACTGGATCGTGACTGAGGCAACAGATTTAAGAGAGAAATATCATCAGAGTTTAAAAATATGGATTATTGAAGCGCTGCTGAGAAGCCAGAATGTGACTCACAGTGAGCAGGCAGGAGCTCAGAGGGGCTCTGACAGCATTAATGGCTTTTTATTGATTATTGTGTGTTTGCAGATCTCCAGTCTGTGTACAGAGGAGGCAGCAGCTCAGGAGCAGACAGGACAGGTGGAGGAATGTCTGAAAATCAACCTGCTGAAGCTCAAGAAGGAAGGATGTAAGAAGGTAAAACGAGCTCACCGCTGCCTTCACTGACCACTCAGACAAACAGACCATCATTTGGATTTCAGTTTCAGCTGTAGACGCAAAGTAACCGTTTCTTTTATTATTTCATTTTCATTTACAAACTCTTATTCTTATGATAGAAATCAAGCGTACCTCTTTGAGTTACAGTGATGTAACTGTGGCTATTTTCTGGCATCAATGTTTAAATGAATCTTTTATAAAGAAAAGGAGGAATCGCACTACAGAATCAACTCATGATCCTTTCTTTCTAGAAGCTTTTCTAACAACACATTTATGCTCCTCCTCTCCCGCTCCCTCCTCTCCCACGCTGACCCCGCAGGAGGTGTTGAACATGCTGAAGGAGAGTAAGGCGGACATCTATGTCGACCCCGTCCTTCACACGGCCTGCGCTCTGGACATCAAACACCACTGTGCTGCCATCCCACCCGGCAAAGGACGCCGTGAGTCAAACTCACTCAGAAGTCATGTGACTCAGACACGAAAAACAAACATCCCACTTTTTATTTCAACGACTGGCTGCTATTCAGCGGCCGTCAGAACAAAAGAAGGGCAAACTTTGCATTGCAGGAGTCAGCAAAATTAATGTTATTTATTTTTAATCAGGTAGAGAAAAGGTAGCAGAAACAAACTGCTTCTTCTGCATAATACACAGAAACTACAATCCATCCATCCAAATTCTGTCTGTCTTTCAGTTTATTTATATCTAATGGAAGTTTTGTGTCCCATCAGAAATGTCGTGCCTGATGGAAGCGCTGCAGGACAAACGTATCCGTCTGCAGCCCGAGTGCAAGAAGAGACTTCAGGATCGCATCGATATGTGGAGCTACGCTGCCAAGGTACACGCACCGAGCAGGGAAACACCTGTGACACACGTGCGCACATTTGAGGAGGGTGGAGGTCTGCAGGTGCTATCAATCAAGTTCAGCATAACAAGGACCGAGTTACATGATTTGGCTTCACTTAATCTATCGCAGGATCTTCCAAGAGTGGGAGTGCTATTTTCCAGAGCTCTGACTGGTGGTGATTTTGTATGTCTTGCTCTCTTATCGTCACATTACCTGCTCCAGAGTAAGTTAGGCCTGCAGCATAGGTTGCTATGTTAGTGGTCATTAAAACCAGCTTTAAACCTGCTTTAAACCTGAAAACACAAGATTAAACCTGAAGTTGTCGCCTTTGACCTTTTTGAGTCAGTTTTAAGAGACTTTTATTTTGAAATTGATTACTTTAATTCAACATGCTTTTACCTCATAATTGGGCGATTGAACACATTTTTATTTTTTATCGAAATATTTTTGAATAAGTAATTTGCACAAAAGTTTAAAGGTGCTTTTATTTTCCCTCTGAAATGACACAGGCTTTTAATTCTTTCTCTCTGCCGTCCACCAGGTGGCGCCTGCTGAGGGACTTGGGGACTTGGCCATGCAGGTGATGACATCGCCGTCCAAGAACTACATCCTGACCGTGATCTGTGCCGGTGTGGCGCTGCTCTTCATGATGGGGCTGTTCTGCGGCAGGTTCACCAAGCGAGTCACTCAGGAGCTCAAGGACAGGTAGACTCCGCCCCCCCCTCTGGGGTCAGGACATATTTAACGACCGCAACTGAAAAAGACCTCCTCGCCATTTCACCCCTGATGCTCCTGAAAGTCCGCCGCATCGTCTTTACTTTCCTCCTGCAAGCTTTTTCACCCTCTCTCACAGCTGGGGCCATCTACATGGGAATGACATTACCCACAATCCTAGCTGTCAGAGATTTTCACACATTCTTATCTGATATATCTGGAGGGTTTTTTTTGTTTGTTTTTTAACTCTTTCTCTTTTTGCTGTTGGTTTAAGGGGCAAGGATAGGGAGGGGAATTGGTAAGAATGTGGGGTCGGAGGTCAACGGTTATAAGTCAAGGTGAAAAAATGAAATGCGTAGGTGTAAATGTGTAGAATGCAGGGTGGGCAAATGCTCATGTGTAATAGAGCAGTTTAATGACTCCAGTATTTTATTGATAAGAGTGTGTGTTGCTGTGAAGGTATGTGTGTGTGAGCGCGAGTGTGTGTTGCTGTGAGGGTGTGTGTGAGATCCAAACTGTCTTTATGCCGCCAGATTGTTTTCTCCTTCTGCTTGAACAGGTTTTTGGAGTTTATTACACTTTTTTTCCCCCCTTCTTTTTTTTGTGCTGATTCATATTAGATTTTATCGCCAAGGGACTGCCAAGTGGGCGGTGCCAGCCAGCCCTCGACCGAGCCACAGATAAAGAGGCGAGGGTGGGGCCACAGAGTTGCACCTCACACACTTTGGCCAACTCGCTACAACCGGAATCGCTTGTGGTTATTTTACTTGGGTTTTTTTGTTTGTTTTCTCCAGATGGAGAAACCTCATCAATCCGGTGTCTTTATTTTCCCACAGCACAGCCTGTGTCATAAATGCACCGTGTGTGTCCACCTGCTGCTCCCATCATTGCCATCTCGGGTGGGATTTTTTTTTTTTCTTTTTTTTTTAAAACATCACTCTGCTCAGACTGGGATGGAAACCAGACGTTTTGATTGCCGCCCATCGCCGCGCAGAGTGGCTGTCGGTTTTGTGCTGGTTGGCACGAAAAAGCTGAGAAGCAATGCAGGAAAAAAATAAAGACAAAAAAGAAACAATTCTAGATTACTATAGAGATGTGAACATTTTTGTGTAAAAATGATACTGGAATCATTGCACATCTTTCGTTCTTTTTTTTTTTTTTAAAATATCTATAAATATATATATATTGTTTTGTCATAGCCTTATTTATTTGTTTACTTTTTTTTTTTTTTTTCATCTATTATTTGAATGTTCTCTGGTTGCCTTTTCTCCAGCGAGACTCCCTTCTTCCTGCAGGGGGGGTGGGAGGAGGGAGAGGAGAGGCAGGGCGTCGAACTCCTTGAGGAACTAGTGGATTTTCACGTGGGACAGTGCGGATTTTGAAATGCTGCATGCCTCCAGCTCCGTGTTTTTATTCTTGGGCTTGACCAGAGTCACTTTGCATGATTCCTGGTTCCAAATAATCTTTATTTGCTTCCTACTGGTTGACTGTTCCTCCTAAGAAAGAGGTCTGAGCAGCAGATGGGGGTAAGGCTTGTGTGCCTGAGATGACCGGATTAAGGATATCTTCTCTTTTTCTCTCTCTCATCATACAGATCCAGGATGTAGAGCAGCCTGAAGCCTGAGCTTTCCAGTTATTGTACATACACTGGCCTCGTTATTAGAAACATTGTAATTTTTTTTTTTTTTTTTTTTTAACATTAACATCCATCAGTTCAACAGAAGTTGTGTAGGTTCACCTGAGGCAGTGTCGAGCAGCAGAATGCAGTTCCGCCATTGTCAACTTGATGCCGACTCCAGCATGAGTCAGTGTTCAAGGTTACCGCAGAAATAAAAATGTTTAAAGCTTGTCACAAAAATCATTTTGATCTCTGTAGATGGTTTCTCCTTCATAGCTGCACTCTGGGTAAATTCATTCGTAGCTCACCTGGTCCAACTTTGTGAAGACTTAAAGTTGGGTGAGGGTGCTTTGAGGGTGTGCCGACACTGGCAACTAATTGGAATCACTGAGCTCTGGAACGTGTTTCGGGTGTCTTCTCCTTTGATGATGATGATGATGATGATAATGAATATGACTTTGACGTGCAGGTAATTCTTCTAACAAACCATCCAACAGGTCTCTGCTTTAGTAATCGTGGCATTGTCTTTATTTTTTCGCTTGTTACTTGCCACTAATGACTCTGTTACTGTAAAGTTGTCTCAACAGCATTTAACAAAGCATGAGATATTGCCAGGTGCATACCAGTTTTTACCACGAGATGGGGCAACAAGGCAAGAGATTAAGAGCATGTTCTTAGTCTCTTAAGGGAAGGCAGAAATATTTCAGTACACCCCCTGGAAGAATTCTGCCCCCTGGTGGTGAAAGTGTTACAAATGTTACCTTTAACACTAACTGGCAGGTTATGCACACTCACACAGTTTACAACTCTCCCCTCTCGTCCAGATACGGTCACTCTGGCTCTGTAAAAGCATATACACAGACATATATAGTCTGTGGTTCTGTAGAGGAGGACGGATTGCTCGGAGGGCGTGTTTGCGACGCTCAGCCTGCAGGTCGATGCCCGAGGAGGCGTTCAGTCTCATATAAACACGTGTGAGCAAACACTAAATCGAGGGCCTCTCCTCTCCCTGCGTGAGCTGATCACATGTACATGTGTATGATACTGAGTGACGATAACTTACTGTAAACTACATGTACCGTTCCCCTTCTAACTGTTGAAGCTTGGCGTGGTGAGCGCTGCCCTCTCTGCTTGTAAATGAGACGTTCTGCTTCATTGAAATGCCTTTTTTCCATCAGATTTTGTTTGTTTTTAAATCGAAGTGTGCCTAACCGCCGTCCCGCTGTACAGGACATCCCAGACGACCTGTTGCACCCAACAGAGGGTGACGTGTGGCGTATTTGACCGATCTTTTTGTAAAACTCTCTTGTTTGTTTGAATCCATTGAGCTCCTGATTGGTTTGGGGTTTTTTTTGTCCACTTTTTTTCTTTTGTTGTTGTTGTACAGATGAAAAATTGGACAGTTTGTTAATGATAATAATAAAGTCTGCAAGGTTTCTACTCCACTGTTTCTTTATTTCAAATCCGGCTCAACCAGAATTTACGCTGTGAAATGTAATATCTGTACATGTGGTAATACTTGAGCCCTGCACTAAATGTAGTGCTTTTTTTTTTTGTGCATCTATATAAACTTTGAGGAAATGTTTGATTCCAAGTGGGACAGATGTTTGTTTCTACAGTGAGATATTTGTGTGACATCTGGATGTAAATGAATAGGAGCCAGAGCGGGTGTCCATGTATATGGCATATGTATATGTGTCTGCTTTTATAATATGGAAAAATTGAGATTTGCTAAAAATGCACTTCGGTTGCTGAAGTGATATTTATGTGGCATCAATGAGTAAGTTTAAGATGCCTTCAGAACAGACCCTTACATTTAGGAAATAAGTTTCCTATTCTTTAGGTAATTATGGTAAAACTTTTCTTTGTTTTCACATCAGTTTGTGGGGCTTCAGCTCAGTTTTTTTGAAGCTTAAAAAAAAATCCCAATTTAATTTTGAAAGGTTAAAAGTTCTCATCTTAAGAAACCGCTGTGTCCAAAAATCTGCGTGTAGTGTTGGAAGAGACCAGCTCGAGCAAAGTGTGGATCGGGCTGTACTTGCATGTAGTTCCAATTTGTACCACAAGGTGGCCCAACTATTTAAACTAGTGTTTGTGTAACCAGGCACATCATTAAAAACACTTTATATACCACACTGCCTCGGAGACAAATCAAAGCCTCGTGAGACTAAAACTGTCCTCCGTGGTTGAAAGTTTGAGTTTGCAGTGGGCGATCACAAAAAATCAAAACCATGTGGTGGCGTCCTTCGTTGTCAGACTGCAGCTCTCAAGCAAAATCCCGTCAGTGGCCTCAAACATCAACATCCAGACAGTTGCAGTGCTGTGGCTTCACTCTCATCTCCAACTATAGACTCTCTCGGTTGCTCGCTGCACAATGCAGTACAAAGTTAAGCCCCAAAACGTGAATGAATGCAGTGAAACTTCCTCTGAATTAAAGGACATGTTTTGCGGTTGTGCAAACTAAATCACACAGTACCTTTTACGTTACAGCCCACCATTGTTTTAGGCGTTTTGCTGTAATCTGGCTTCCCCTCTGCAGCCTGCTGCTCCAGTGTTTTTCACTCTGGTCTTTCCTGCTTCTATTTGTGAACAGCACTCGCTCCATTATCCAGAACAATAGACCTTCACTCACAGAATGAAATGGTGCACAAAAGCCGGAGCGCCCAACAGTGATGCAGCCATGAATCCACCCGCTTTCCCTTCAAACTGGGTGGGGCCGAGCACTGTCTAAACTGAAATACTGGGTGACATCACCTGTGTGTGCATCAGTGAAGGCCTGAACGAACACATCCAGGTGCTTTGATACACTCTCACAACTGAGAGTAGATCTTTACTTCCCCTAAGAACAGTTTTCTTCTGACTTTCACACTAAGCTTTATTAGGTAGGGCAACGTTTTAGGCGGACATGGCTGTACCTGAACCATGAAAACAAAGTATTTTGAGTGCCTAACTCTATCCTGCAGATGAACCTGGAAGCAAAGAGCATAAAGGTCAGAGTGGGATGTGAATAAGCGTGATAGCCTTAAACTTGCTCTGCCTAGTTTCCCTCCCTGACACAGGCTTGTGAGTCGTCAGTGGTGGACCACTTTTCCTGAAACACTGATATCTTTTCTAAATCTCCTGAACAAACCTGGCTGATGTGAGGTGCGTGACTCTCGAGCTTGGCGGTGTTTTGATTCGTGGTGACTTCCTTGTTGTTGCTAAGCAGCATTTATCTGGCCATTGCTGCAAAGACTAACAGAATTTCCACGAGGACGATAAATGTGATTTACGTATTTTCTCAATTTACTGAGCATTTCCTCATCTTTGCATTAAACTTGCTAAAACTACAATAACCAACTGCTTTGAATTAATGAGACCTTTAAAACCGCCTGCATATTTCTGGAGAGTTTTTGATACGTTACTAAGCTGAGACCACAACAAGGTACTTAAAGATGTGAACGTATGAAGTGATTCCAATTAAACTAAAGGGGGGAAAATAATCAAATGCAGGGAACGTTGTATTCCATCATGATATTCCCCTTGTCTCATGGTGGGGCTGATCTGGCAGTGTGGATGCTTCTCCTCAAACATCTGTGTTCTGCGCTGTGCTCTCTGTACTCTGTGAGACTCTCTGCAGGCATGCAGGGTAAACATACATGTCTGCGTTTGTGCTGCCTGTTTTTATGTGTTCTGTCTGACCCGTGGAGGCTTCGGGCCGTCTCGCAGAGCCGTGTTAAATTCTTCAGCCCTGCAGACCGAAACGCATGGAAGTCATATACTGCACAAAAGACAAACTACAGTTTATGGTTTTAACATTTCAAGACAAAAAACATACCTTCCATTATTTACAGCTTTTAACTCGGCACATGTTAAAGGCTGACGCGATGTCGAGGTAAATGTGTTTATTCTGTAGTTTGGGGAAAATCATAATACAAAGTTTGCGAACAGTATCAGCAAAGACCTTGAAGTTTTAATACAGAGTAAAAATGCTGAGCCTGCACAGCCACGGTGTATCAGCACCTCTGATGACGTTATCATCAGGTAAATCACTGCAGGTTTTTCCAGAATCCTTCACCTTGCAAAGCCTGATGAATCATGAAATAATTGCCATATAAATTATTTTACTTTATTCCATTCAGCGTTTTGGGGCAATTTATTTAGGAACAAAAATCGTCACACTGATGATGTAGAGGTCTCAAAAACTCATGTCAAATACGTTACAGGGTTAAATGCTTCTCAGTATTTGAATCATTGGAAAATCCAATAAAACGATTGCTTAGACAATTTACAGACGGTTAGATGTGCTAAGCTGTGTTCGGGGTTAAATGATGTCTTTTCATTATGCTGGATACATTTTTATGGTCTTACAGAGCTTCAAAAATGTTTTATGAAGGGAACATTTAACTAACTCGTTCCCAGAAGACAATATCTCGTTCCAGGTGTTCTCATTTCCCACAAGAGGATAACTTCTTTTCACAATACAAATACCCTTAAAAACAAAATCACACCAATACCTCCTGAGAACATTCAACATTATGCACTCCACACTGTATATAAATGCCACTTGTTTTGCACATATTCAACTCTGTATATTTTATATATTTTATTATTATTATTATTATTATTATTATTATTATTATTTTATTTTATTTTTTTACTATTTAATTTGTAAAAATGTGTATACACACACACACACACGTAGGAAAATATTTAGTATACACATCCAGAAATGCATACACTATTATATATTGTACATATATTTATTAGTTTCAGGTTGGCCATTCTTGTATTTTGCTCGTTTGTGTTGTTGTGTTTGCACATCTCTGTTGCTTGTGGGGCTCGCACACAAGAATTTCACTCGCATGTGCTGTGCCAGTGTGCCTGCACATGTGATGTGACAATAAAAGTGATTTGATTTGATTTGATTTGAGAACAAGATAATGAACTTGTTCCTGGAATTCATTTAACTTGTTCAAATGGCGGATAAAAGTTTCTTATCTCCTGCACACAGCTGGTTCCCAGAAGTAGTTTGATTCCTGCACACGAGTGAAGCTTGAGGTTTAGTTTGTCATCGCTGAAGTCAAGGTTGCTATCATGTGGTTAAAGTTAGGAAACAGAGTCACTGTTTTCATGAGATCCACAACATCCTCAGCACAAGAAAATATTAAAACACAAAATGCCTCATTTTTCTTACAGAGTTTGAGAAAACAGAACTTTTGAATAAGTGATGATATCAGCTTCAGTTGTTTGAACATGTTACAGAAACCTTTGTGCTTCCTTTCATGTTCATTTAGCTCAACTAGCTGGGTTAGGCTCATGACCTGAATCAGTGGAAGTAAGATGATGGATGGTTGAATGGATGCGTTGTTTATGGTTTTTATTGTTCCAGTGAATGGACTGGAAAACAATAACCACAGTTGTAAACATAAAAAAACAAATGTGGGCGACACATCCCTGCATGTGTTTTAAAATTGAAAGTGACATGAACTTTGACCTGTAGTTTTTCAGAGGTGATGGAAGGACTTTCTCAAACATATAATTTGCGCAACCTTTAATTAACTGGTTTGGCTGAATTTGTGCTCCAGTTCGCTGACTTTTGTTTTGCGTCCAGGGTCACTGAATTTCCTCATTTCCAGCTCCATATTTTAATGATGGCATCCGTAGAGTAGCTCTATATGACTGAAGGAAGGTTTTGTATAAACATGTGTGTAAAAAGCAGTATTAAACCTTTTAATATGAACTAAACCAATAAGGAGAATGTACAGGTTGTACTCTAACATCCATACTTAGAATGGTGCACTAAGTAGTGCCAGTGTAGCGTAGCATCCTAGCAGTCTAAGTCCAAGTTAGTGTTAGCTTTCTACAGAAGTGACTTTGGTAGAGAACAGACTCTTAAAAACGAACATGTAACAAACATTAGATTAGTTAGAATGTTTTTTGTTTTTTTTTTAAAGATTGTTTTTCAATACAAAATAATTTAAAATATTGAAGAATGTGATGCTAGGTGGGACCCAACAGAGTCAAGGTCTTTATAAAAACAAACAAACAACAACTTTAATTTATTCCTGTCAGTTCATGTTTCTTATTAAGGCAACTGTCTCTGATTGGCTGTCCTTCCCAAAAACAAAAGTGTATGGGAGGGACTTAAGATGACCATATTAGGAATATCTACTACTTGGTAACATCATTCCAACAGTAGAAAAAAAACAACTTTGTGAAGCCTGAGCTTTTGTCTCACAAGGTTTACTTCTACATGTGCTCACCTCATTATCTGAAACTTATCTGGTTGTGTTCAAAAACAACATATTACACATATGTCAAGAAAATGATGTAAGGCAGAGCAGGCCCACTTCAAAATCCTAAATACTAACTATTAGGTCTTCTTGGATCTGGCTATGTTATGCTCTATATACAAAATTCATATTTTTGAAAAGAACTAGAAAATTACAGTTAGTCACCTACAAAGAGGTCAAAAACACTCAGTGGTTCCACGTCCACTCTTCATCCTGCCCTGAAACGTCCTCATCAGTACAGTCAGAGTTCAGCTTATCTCCTTCTACAAACCCCGGGTAACCGTCATCGCTTCCTTTCTAAAACTCGTATGGAGACACGAACAGGGTGACCTTGGTGAGGTAGCGGCCCAGCAGGGTGTTGTGCTCCAGCTCGCTCATCTCCACCTCGGCTTCTAGCGTGGCCGGCCCCTTGATGGGCGTCACCAGGAGGAGGGTGCCCGTCTGTCTGCCCGAGCGCTGCACACTAAAGTGGCCCCGGCCGCGACCGCTGGCAAGGCCGAATCGCAGCGTGTCGCCCAGCACGCGAGCGGCAGACACCCGGAAGAGGATGCGCGGGGCGGACATGTTGGACACTACAGAGAGGAAGTGGAAGGAGATGGAGTTTGGTGCCTGAGTGCATGGCTTGTCTCCCAGCATGCACGGGTTCCTCTCACACCGCCTGAAAGAACACAAAGAGGGTAAACATTATTGGTTTTCAGTTATTCACAGGTTTTAGTCATTCTTATGGAACAACCGGCCTGCTCTCTGTCCTAATCTAAGATGAACAAGTACAAAAAACAGCAGACCGAGGCCTCAGGGCTTCAGCTGCCCTCAGCAGCACTGAATTGGATAAATGGAAGAACAAGATTTCAACATACTCAATTACAGAAGGACAACTAACTAACATGTGATCAAAAAGATTTTCTAAAACTGGCTCACTTCTCCTTAAGACCATCTTTTTGGACATGTCCAGACAGCTTTCAGAGTAGCGTCTACTTTTAAAGCACTACATGGACCCTGTGATGTCACCTCACACTTGAGGGTTATTGCAATCATAAAGAGTCCACCGTTCCCAAGCCTGAATGTGGCCTCATACATTCACATGCACTGCTTAAAAAATCAAAGATCCAAATCAAATCAGTTTTATTTATGTAGCACTTTGGTCCACAGTTGTTGTTTTTAAAAGTACAGTACAATAGAATAATCAGGTAACATTTAAAAGGAAAGGAAAATAATAAGAATAAAATAATGACAGACTCCTACAGAATTAAAAGCCAAGGAGTAAAAATGGGTCTTTAAAATGCACGAAAACCCAGGAATGTCCTGATGTGCCTTCCTGAAGGAGTCGGATTACCTGTGAAACCTCTGTGAGGTCCACGTATCGCCTCAAGCTAAACCATTCCTGTTTTCGAGTTTTCTCATGGTTGCCCCTCTACTGCACCTGTCGTTAAAGCAACTGACACAACCAGCGTTTCTTAACTGACTAGATCGAGCTCACAGAAGGACTTGATGCTAAACTCTAATAAAAAAGTGTCATGTGTTAGTGCTACTTATATGATAAGTTAGCTGATACAAATTTCAAAACTCATCATTTAATTTGTTTTTGATTGAAATTGAATATTACTTAAACTCTCTTAAATTGACTTCCAATAAAAAAGGTTTATCATTGATTGAAATTCATTCAGAAATAATCCTTATTTCATTGTACTGTATATTGTTACTGTTATTTGCCCTGTATGTCTACTGTACAAACTGAACTGGAATGACTGACTGTTCGCTTTATCATTTCAAATAAAGTTCGAAAAAAAGTTAGCTGATACAGCAAACCAGACAAAACATGATGATTAGAACGAGAGAGCGAGAGAGAAGAAACCTGTTTGGATGCTTGACATGATCTGAAAAAGGTGATTTAGCTGTAATTTGAGAGAAGTGCAGATTATTAGTTAGAGAAAATTAATTAAACTTTTCAAGCTATCGTTCTGTCTTTGTGATGACTCTTTTGAGGGCACCCATTGGTTTTGAATAACTCTTTTCACTTCCTGTAAAATGCTTTTATATTCATCACTCTGTGACGTATATCTTTTTAATCCAGTTTAATCTGATTATCTTCAGCATGCTAATGCCTCCTACCACGTAAAGCTACACTTCATGGTTAGCTTGTGAGTCATAGTTAGCAAAAAAACATCTGAGGTCAGTCTTGGGTCAAAAACATCTTCTACATCTCCAACAAAGTGTGGTTGCGGGTTGGAACGCATTCTTGTATTCTTCATCTTCATCGACTTCCTGTCTCCTCTATAGTAGAATCCAGTCTGATTGTTTATGGTTCTCCAGAGACGCCATGATTGTTTAGTCATCCCCAGAGTAATCTGTTAAAATCCTGAAATGATCCTAGCCTCCTGAAATGATACCCTGCTCTTGTACTCATGGGTAAGGACCTGCTTTTCTCAGAAATTGACACAAACACTGAAAGTGAACACATGATTTTGTTTGTTATATGCTGGAGAGAGTGCAGGCGTACTCTGCACCCTCCCAGATTCAGAGTTAGGTTTGGGACGGTGTTTTTTAGACATACATGGCTGAAATGTTTGACAGAGTTAGTGTTTTCTGTCATATATCTTCTGTCCCAGTAGTGAACGTTCATATTAAACATAACAAAAGTTGAGTGATAATAACTCAGCATATATACAAGTAACCTCTGTGAGCCAAAAGCTCAGATGGTCTGAAACATGGACTGCCACTAAACTCACAGTTTATATGTATATTTTTTCTCTAAGTGGTCAGAGAGAGTTATCCTAGGAGTTCAATTTTCAATTATATTTTGATAGAGCGCCAAATCACAAAAACAATTGCCTTAATGCGCTTTATATTGTAAAGGTAAAGACCCTACAATAATACATACAGAGAAAACACCAACAATCATATGACCCTATGAGCAAGCGCTTTGGTGACAGTGGGAAGGAAAAACTCCCTTTTAACAGGAAGAAACCTCCGACAGGAATAGGCTCAGGAAGGGGCGGGGCCATCTTCTGCAGCCGGTTGGGGGTTGGGGTGAGTTAAAACAGCTCATTTCAGACAGAGCGTGAATGAATGAAAGATTTATTTTGAACTGTGAATCATGCAAATCTTAAAAAAATATTTTAGATAAGATTTGACCTCGAGAGGCTTTTGTTAATGTTAATATTTGACGCATTTGTAAAATGGTATCAAGGGTTGATATTTGTTAAAGGTTTTGTATCAAAGTTAGAAATTCTTTTGTGATGGCACTAATGTGAGGAATTTCACTACATACAGTCTTTTATCCTTCCTCTGCTGCCTTTTGTTCTAGTCTTATGCAAAATGATTCTTAGTTTTTAATTGATGTGTTAAAATTTTATAGTTAAAATACTTCAGAGTAACGTTTCCACTGCAAATCTTCTCAGAAAATATTTTGCAGAACCCTTGAACTAAGCCAAACACCCTGGAGAGCCTGTGTGCCTGCAATTTTCATGTTTTTTGTGACCAAAATACAGGAAACAGATGATACAACAGCTGTTTTCTGCAAACGTTTGTGTTGAATTTGTGGCTTGCTAAATCATCTTTATCCAAGTCCCTCTTTAGCTAGTGAGTCCAACAAAAGGCTCGCTCAGATTACATGCCTTTGACATCCTCTTTCAAATTGAAGATGAATGATGGGCAACTTTTACAGTAAGTTCTCCCAATAGTTTATTTTTTCTTTTGGTGGTTTTCCCCACAAAGAAGTGATCAGGTCAATCCTCATATTATTTGCTTTTCATGCAATTACTGTATTGACTGTATTTGTCTTGCAGTTTCTTGGGTTTGACTGGGGGAATTTTTGCAATTTGGCATCTCCGTGATTCCAGGTGTGGAAAAAGTACTTGAACAATCTGCTGTGGTAAACACGTCCAGTGCTGTAAACACGTTTCAAGGTTCTTGACCGATCAGCTAACTGGAGCCTGAAAACTCAGCAGTTCATCTGAGGCCAAACCTCAGCCTGACTCTCAGCCCAGATTCTGCCAGAGCTAAGAGATGGGTGGAGGAGGGAAGTGGTTAACTGTGAGGTCGAGGTCATTGTTTGTCAAATATTTCTTTATCGCTGTCCCTGTCATTGACTTTATGTCTGATTCTTTTTCTTCTGAGGTGACAGGTTTATGGTTTTGATTGTGTCTTTGTGTTTCTGGGTGCTGTTTAATTGCACTCTCGATGTGTGATTTAAATTGAGTGTAGTTCAGGGCAGTCATTCTTTTGACTGCTTGTTCGCTAGTTTCAAATTCAGACTGTCAGTTTTGTTTTCATCCACAGTTGTTGGACAAATAGACGAAGTCCATAGAACTTGGAGAGTTTCCAGATGTTTTGCAACTCTCTGGATTGCCTCAAACAGCATGTGGACTGATTTTTGAACAATGGGACAAATATCACACCACTGAGCTCATTTGAATCACAGACAGATTGTTTTGGTTTTGGGGATCAAATCACACTCTAACCTTTCTTTATTCGAGTTAATATTAGTGAGTCCCACTCACACAGACTTAGAGACTGGTTGGCAATCATTTGGCAACCATCGGTTGATAGGAAAAAGTGTCTAGCGCTCGACCCACTGCTGAGTGGTTGCTTCTAGTGTGAAACTGGTTGCAAACAGGTATTTGGTGCTGTACCAAAAACCTTTTTATTATTGTTAAGGCGCCACAGGTTGCCATGGTCACCAGTACTTTGCATGGAAGATGCCAGTTTGTCTGTCCACCATCAAAAACTACTTGCCAAGTAGTGCTGAAACTGTGAAAAGTGAGCTGCAAACTGGAAACTCAGACTGTTTGCCTTTAAAGTAAATAGTGAGATTCGCAAACTTTCAGATTGTACAAACTAAAGGTTTATGTGGAGATATGGAGACACAAACGGGACACAGAAGGTAAGATAGAAAAGAACAGCTCAGAGGAAGGTTGAGGAGAAAAAGGTCGGTAAGTACTCTTACATGGACGATGTTTTGATGTACGTGGCGTTTTTCAAGCGAGGACACTCCACCGTCACGCACTGGAAACCTCCGTAGGTGTTCACACACAGCTGGTCTGCTGTGCAGTTGTGCATCCGGTTTTCACACTCGTCAATGTCTGAATGCGAAAGGTCAAAGGTGAGAGGTACAACTACAAGGGCGCAGCCATCTTAAACATTCCCCAAACAGAACAGGATGACCTCTGAACTCTGACCTGTGCAGCTGCGGCCGTCTCTGGTCAGGTCGTACCCGGACGGACAGATGCAGTGGAAGCTGCCGGGTGTGTTCACGCACTGATGGACGCAGAGCAGGCCAGGCTGACCGAGGGGAAACAGATGGCACTCGTCGATATCTGAAACAGACACAAGTTGATTAATCGGTCGGTTGATTGAAAGAAAATTTACATCCAACAATTTTGGTTCTCAAGCGAAGACATTGAAAATCGATTTTTTTAACTGCTGAGAATGATCAGCGTTTTGTTAATGTGGTGGTTATTGGTATGGACTGATCACCTGTGCAGATGTTGTTGTCACGGCCTGATATGGTGAAGCCCACGTCACAGGTGCAGCGGGTGGAGCCCAGGAAGTGTGTGCAGTGAGAGGGTCGTACTGAAGAGGAGGGAGAGGATGACGTGGGTGACTGGTGAGAAAGTGAAGTTGCTGAAGAGGATGCTGACAGAGCAGCAGAAGCAGGAAATGATGACGAAGAGGAGGCGGAGGAGGAGGGAGAAGCGGGAGAGAAGGAGGGGAGGGAGTTGGCGGTGCTGTTGAGGTCTGAAAAGAAAAACCAGGTTTAAAAAAACAGAAGCACAAAACTTTGAAGCAGAACTGTGATTGACTTCCGGAGACTCACGTCTGCACATGGGCTGCTGACCGCTCCACTTCAGAGACTCCAGACACACTCGGGTCCGAGGACCAATCAGCTCATAGCCGGACTTGCACAGGAAGTGGACCTCGTGTCCGATGCCAAACACCCTGCCCAGTCTGCGGCCGTGAGCGGGGGGATCCGGTTTGGGGCAGGATGCTGCAAGGCAAAACATTTCTGTCTGAGATAATCTTAATCCACCTGCTGGACCTCAGAAAAGTTATACACCAGCTCAAACCCTGTGGTCATCTGGAACAGACACCAGGAACTGACGGTGCTCCAGTGTGTCAGCCTCCCCTGCAGCTCCGCCACAAACCATGCCCCGCCACAGGGACACTACACCAAAAACTCCTCCCACTTTTACCATTTATTTTTTTACCTATTTTAAAGACGGCCATGGTGCTGTTGTGCAGGGTGCTAATCTTCTTCTTTAGGGAGCGCAGGCTCTGCTGGTAGGACGTCTCATGGACCGCCAGCATCTTCTCCACCTGCCGCAGCGAGTTCAGCAGATCGTGAGTGGATGGACACTCCTGTGGGGGCGGGACGAGGAGGGGTTAGAGAAGGCCTTCCTCCATCTAATCTTTGTCTTTTTTGGCACTTTTATAATAAGCTGAGTAAATTCTGGGGCCAGAACACCAAAACCATGAGCTGACTCAAGCTCAAATGTGCACGGTGGATGTGGGTGTATACTTCTAAATGCCTCCTATCACAATAAATATTCATTAATTACTATTAATTCTATCTTTAGGCCCAAATATGAAAACACAAAGTTTTTCCAAGGTTGTAATAATTTGTTTGGCTAGAGGCAGAAGATGACCATCACATTCTGTTTGCAGGTGTGAGGTCTGCACACAGAGGTGAGGTTTTTCAGAGCTGCATTTAAGCCTGGGTGAAAACTGAACCAGAAGCGGCCGCTCGCCTCACAATCACTGTTGAAACACAGCTTAACTCGGCGCTGCTGCCACACAGCGAACCTGTGGTTTGTGTTTTCGGTGTTTGGAGGCGTTCCTTTGGTTTCTTACAGGCAGTGAAGACTAAGGAGGGTGAACCTGAGCTCTGCGTGCTGAGCTGCAGCTACTATGTATTTAAACAGACTTTGGTGTTGGTGTGAGTAATCAAACTCTAATGACAATAAAAACAAGAATTTGTTCGTGCACTTTGATTGATTTGACCAGGGCTAAGGGTGTGTCATAGTCGTTGAATTTCTTTTTTTTAATTTTAGTTTTTTGGACATTATTTAACGGTACACAAGATTAAAAAGTTCAAAGAGCTCCACTTGATTTAAATTGACCTGAATCAAATTCAAGGTCATGCTCCTGTGCACCTTTGCTCTGAGCAGAACTCCTAATGTGTCGTCTTATACTTTCTGCTTCTAGCTGGACCTTCTCCAACATGTCAGAAAGATGAATCTTCAATTTGATCTTAATTTTTTGAAGCACACAAAGCTACAGTTTGAAGATATGTGTTTGTGATGCCTGAAATTCCAGGTCAGGTCATTTCTGCTGAATGTTCTGACTCAGAAACATCTGGATATTACAGATGCTGAGAAACATGTGTCCCTGCTGCTCTTTGCCTTCAGGTTGGAAAACTGGATTCTTGAAAACTGCTCAGTCTTAGTTGGAGACCGAGCTCTCATCATCAGCGATGATTGTCTGCATAAATGTTTAATTGAGTTTGAAAAACGAGTTGATGTTTATGTTTAGCATAGAAGAATCTAAAAATATCAGCCATGCTTGAAGCTCTCAGGACTTGCAAGAGAAGATGATTATGAACATCATATGGCCAAATTTACAGAGCTAAATGGATTTTTCTTTGTTATATCTATAATCATAGTGTGTGGTACTGCACTATGCTTCAATAAATAATCTCAAATATATTTTTAATATAAAAAAGATCACGATCTTTCTCTTGATCAGATCATGTTCCAACTTTTTTGACTCTCTAAGAAATAAAACCTGGATATAAAATCATTTTGATGTCAACTTTTACTCAAAAAACATTTAGACCCAAAATGCTGACTTAAGTAATTAGATTACATGTAAATCTACCATGAAATTTTGTTACATGAGTACAATGTAAAAAAAAAAATTAAACTTACTTCATTTTGCTTGATTTTTTTATTTGAACTTTATATGAACTTTTGATTTCATATATTTCATTTTCATTTTACTCAAAATTGTTCCTTCAGTGTCCTACTAATTAGAGAGGGGTCAGCTGACATGTTAAACATGCATTATTTTAGCTTTAGGGGATGACTTTTTTTTTCAGGAATATCATCTCCAAGACTGGGAACATTAAAGTGTTATAGCCTAAAAGCTATAAAAGTAAAATGCAAACATGATAAGAACTATTCTTATGTATTTTATTTAAGAAAAACAGTCGTAATTTTTTTAATTACATTGAATTCGATTGAATACATACATTATATTGAATTAGTCTTATGAGACCTTCGGTCCAAATATAGATGATTTCACGTTTTTCTTATTTTTTTAAAAAGCATGAACAGGTCAGACACCGGTACCAACCTGAGCAGAAGAAGAATAAATCTGATGAAGGCTGATCATCATCATCGTCAGCGTAATGACCCCAGCAGCCTTCATCCTGGAAAAAAACTCCATCCTCATGATGATCCGTCTTCAGCTCCTCTGCTGCGTCCTCAGAACTGAACCATCTCTTCTCCTGCTCTTTCTTTTCAAGGGCACTTGCCAAATTTCTCCTGCGCTCCCTCACAACCCTCCCTCCACCTCCACCTTCACCTCCACCCACCTCCCTGTCAGGCATGTTGGAGGTGGAAGCTGAAGCCAGAGGAGGAGGAGGAGGAGAAGAAGGAGGGCCCACATCTGGAACATGCTGTCCCTTCTTTCTTTTTTTTTATAAACCATCAGCAAATCCAGAAATAGACTTAAATTATAAGGAGAAGTCAGCTGGCAGTGGTGTCTTTTAATCATCCCCCGTTGTTGGGGAGTATTTCAGATTCGCTCTCCAGCTCAGGAATGTGGCTCTTGCTCCAATTACAGTCACTATAAAGCCCCACTTTTTTTGAAACCCCAAACTCGCCTCGTTGCAGCATAATGTCATGTTGCTCCTAAATGACAAGGCAGCGATATCTGAGGCAGAAGCCCCCGCCTCGGTTATCCCCCACTCAGAAAGAGAAAAAAAAGAGGTGTAGAGATCCTGGAAGAGATGTTAGAAAAGACCCTGCAGCTGCTACAAGTCCAAACTTCAACTTAAACTCAGAGTCATATATAAGGTATGATAATGGCAGAGTATGCATGCACACTATAATCTCCTATACAGCACCCTAAACACATGAAAATCCCCAAAAGGAAAAACACATCTGCTGAATTTGGAATTATAACGTTTAATTGGAAGTAAATAAAAAAGATGATTGAACTCCATCAAACAAGGCCTTGAATTTCCTTGAAGAGCCTGGAATTTCATGTGCAGTGAGCGCAGAGGGACACACACTCTTTCACGCATTTGTTAAAAACACAAAAGAACCATTTGCACAGCTAAAAACTGTCTTTATGGAAGATTATTGGAAAAACAAAAAGAAGCACATTTTGATTTTTAACATGCCTAAAATTAGAACACTGAGTCCACACAAGATATGTGCTTAAATAACAGATATGTCATCATAAGTAAACTAACAGAATACAAACCCCAAAAAGGGGGTTGGGTATTCATACCAGATACCAGCTGGTATGAAATAGAGATGCTTTAGTTTTATTCTCTTATTAGAGTTATTCTTGAATTATCATAATTAATGTTGGTCCAAGTTCAGCATTGCAAGTGAACATATTGTTATGATGTCATAGTTTTGTGACGTGTAAAAAAACAAAAACGGCCAATGAGCACTCAGGAAAACATTGTAAATAAAAGGCTGTTAGGATTGGGGCTGGGGGTTGGGATGTGATCGTGCTTAGGGTTGTAGCGCTATAGTTAGGGTTAAGCTCTTCTGGTTAGGGTTTAGTGTGTGGTGTAACGGTGTGTCCACATCACAAAAGTATGACATCACAGAAATGTGAGTGGTCACTTGCAATGTGGAATGTGGACCAAGATTAAGTCTGATTATGCGGGAACAACACCCACATGGAGCTATCAGATTGTGCTTTGCTCATCAGCCAGTATCACCAAAGACAGCCTGAGACCTCCTGGAAAACAGGTGGAGCTGTGAAGCACTCACCGGAATGAAGTGAAAGGCTCATATTGTCATCTTTTTTCCAGGTTTTAAAACTTTTAACAGATTTTTTTTTATTACAGCAAGAAATTTGTTAAAATATTAATTTCATTGGTTTTCTGTATTGCTCTTACAAAACGGAGCATCTGAGTGGAGAGGTGTTGTTTTGTAATTTTGTCTGTCTTTTAGGTGTTTTGTGGTGATCCTGATGTAGCTATAGCTGACTTCAGTTCTTAAGCGTTATAATCTTAAACTTTTAAAAACTAAACATATGTTGGCATTTTCGACTAGAACAAATGATGATGATCATCATGCAACAACATCAAAGTGTTATATTTCTGACACCACAGGAAATACATGCTTTTATTCTGGGACTTTTCTAGAACAGCTTGATTCTTATGATTATGAAAATAATCCTTCATCTTTTTTTGGGCTTTAAAGCAGTCCCTCAGGTTTTTCACATTAGCTGAAAAAACATTTGTTTTAGCACCTTTCTCTGTTAATAAGATATCATTCCTCTAATTGTTTAATATCAGGATTCGCCTTGGTTACACTTTATGACAGAAAGTAAAGAGAAGAAAAGTGATGAAAAAAAAAGTAAGTTATCCTGAATGTCGTGCTTGTGCCAATGAAAACTTTTACTACTGTTGGCAAACGACAAAGGAAGAGGAGAGGGGGAAGGCATGTTAGAAAGCAGTGAGAGAGCAGGAAAGTGTAGTGAGAGTAGGGACTGGATGTATCGTCTATGAGCAGTAAAGGGAGAGAGCTGGCTGATATTATATTGGAGCATACTTCATTGGACATGTAGCTGAAGGGAACAGGTGATAAGGAGATGTTGTGTAGTAGCTGATACAGGCTCTGGGTGGTGGGGAGAATTGCTAGATGGCTGGATAAGAATGGCTGTAGTGATGACGGAAACTGCAAAGAAGGTGTTTGATGTGACCTTTGGACAGAGGAAAGGGGACAAGGAGACTTGGTTTTGGACTGAGGACATACAGGATCACTTAGGAAGAAGTTAGCAGAGAAAGAGCAGGATAGTCAGGGATTCAAAGAAAGTAGACAGGAGTACTGGGAGGTGATGTGTACAGTGAGGAAAGATTGAAGAAAGCATGGGCAGCAGGTTAGGGTGGTTAATGATAGAGACAGAAATGTGCTAACGAGAGAAGAGAAGAAAGTTAGAGAGAAGTAGATGGGTGGAAGACAGTTAGAGAATCAGGGACTGCAGAGGGTTGGTAACAAGGAAATGAGGGCGGCTATGGAAAGGATAAAGAGTGGAAAATTATCCATATGACATACCTGTGGAGTGGTGGAGAAATCTAGGAGAGAGGAGAATCATCTTTTTGACCTGATTGTTTAAAACAACCTTGGAGTACGAGAGGATGTCTGAGGAATGTAGAAGTGTACTCGTACTGATTTTCAGAGACAAGCGTGATGTGCAGAGCTGTAGTAACTACAGAGGGATAAAGCTGATGAGCCATGGCATGTGGAAGGAAAAGAGTTGTTGAGGTTAGGTTAAGAAGAGATGTGATCCATTTTAAAATCCTTTTATTTGTTTTTAAGTGTCTTAATGGTCTTGCCCTTTCTTATTTGTTTGATCTGCTTCAGACAAATAAGAAAGGACAGCACTGCGGTCAGCTGTTATGTTGTTTTTAAAGTGCTTTAGAAATAAAGTGAAAGTGAAAGTAAAGTGAAAGTGATGATCAGTGAGCAGTAGTATGGCTTCATGCTGAGAAGAGCGCTACAGATGGCATGTTTGCATACATATTATTAGGTGCTAAGAAAGATGTGGTGCTGCATCAGGAAGTCGGGAGTGGCAGAGAAGTCTAAGGCTGGTGGAGGACAATCTGCCGTGCAGAAGGAAGAGAAGAAGACCACAGAGAAGATTGATGCATGTTTTGATGCATTTGTACATTTGAACTTTGTGTTCACGCGTGGCAAGATGGCGCCGGTGTGTGTGGCTGCTCGTCTGTCACTGCCAAGTTTGTTCCTGTTTATGTTATTTTTAATTTGTGTCATCCATGAAACAAAGTCTCTGCTGAGGTATGATCGCCAGACACTATTGGACCTCAAACCTGTGGTCCAAAATATTGTGTCCTTTGGAGCTGGTGGGCAGCAACCCCTGCCCCCATTTGCATCGGAAACCCCGGGTTACCTGTACCGGGTTCCCACGCTACCTTCCCGGCGAAAGCGTCCTCGTCGCCGGGGTAAACGAAGCGGTCGCCTGGTGAAGCTAAAGGTTTACCTAAAGAATTATTCTGCTGTTTTCCGACCAGTGCATGGATTCTTGCCAAGGCTGTTTGCGTCTCGGCGTTTTCTGGATCCTGTTGATGCCTGTTTGGTGCCTGTGGTCGGCTTTGATGATGATGCTCCTCGGCCTCGCTGCCCATGCCCTCCCATGGGAGGGCATGGGCAGCGGCCCACCTTTTTTGACCTAACCTTTTCTGGAAGGTGTCTTCCAGAAACTGGCAGTAGGACTGGGAGTTGAGCTTGACTCCATCCTCAACCCGAAAAGGCCCCACAAGCTCATCTCTGATGATACCAGCCCAAACCAGTACTCCACCTCCACCTTGCTGGCGTCTGAGTGGGACTGGAGCTCTCTGCCCTTTACCAATCCAGCCACGGGCCCATCCATCTGGCCCATCAAGACTCACTCTCATTTCATCAGTCCATAAAACCTTAGAAAAATCAGTCTTGAGATATTTCTTGGCCCAGTCTTGACGTTTCAGCTTGTGTGTCTTGTTCAGTGGTGGTCGTCTTTCAGCCTTTCTTACCTTGGCCATGTCTCTGAGTATTGCACACCTTGTGCTTTTGGGCACTCCAGTGATGTTGCAGCTCTGAAATATGGCCAAACTGGTGGCAAGTGGCATCTTGGCAGCTGCACGCTTGACTTTTCTCAGTTCATGGGCAGTTATTTTGTGCCTTGGTTTTTCCACACGCTTCTTGTGACCCTGTTGATTATTTTGAATGAAACACTTGATTGTTCGATGATCACGCTTCAGAAGCTTTGCAATTTTGAGACTGCTGCATCCCTCTGCAAGATATCTCACTATTTTTGACTTTTCTGAGCCTGTCAAGTCCTTCTTTTGACCCATTTTGCCAAAGGAAAGGACGTTGCCTAATAATTATGCACACCTGATATAGGGTGTTGATGTCATTAGACCACACCCCTTCTCATTACAGAGATGCACATCACCTAATATGGTTAATTGGTAGTTGGCTTTCGAGCCTATACAGCTTGGAGTAAGACAACATGCATGAAGAGGATGATGTGGACTAAATACTCATTTGCCTAATAATTCTGCACTCCCTGTATTTGATATGAAACATACGTCAGAGACATTATCCTAAACTGGACTAACAAAGGACAATGAGTACAACATGAAACGTACATTACATAGCGTAATGCTAAAGTTCATTGATCATTTTAATCATAAACTTGTTGAAATATTGTTGCTGAACATGCAAACATCTGCTGATGAAAATGTGTTGATTTATTGGTCTGTTATGAAGCTATTGCTATTTCTAATGTGTTTTATCACTTTCTGATGTTTTATTAATTAAACAATACATGTATTGTTGTGTTATCTGTAGCTATAGTATTTATATATATTTATTTATAGTATAGCCAATATATTTA